AATGGTATCAGAATGTTTAAATCCACATTCACGCTACGGACTGTATCACGTAGTAAATCGACATTCAATAATCATGGTATCAGAATTGCTAAAGCAGCATTCACTCTACGGACTGTATCAGGTAGTAAATCGACATCCAATAGTCATGGTATCAAAATGGCTTAATCAGCATTCAATCTACGGACTGTTTCAAGTAGTAAATCGACATTAAATAGTCATGGTATTAGAATGGCTAAATCAGCATTCTCTCTACGGATTGTAACAGGTAGTAAATCGACATTCAATATTCATGGTATCAAAATGGCTTAATCAGCATTCACGCTACGGACTGTATCAGGTAGTAAATCGACATTCAATAGTCATGGTATCAAAATGGCTTAATCAGCATTCAATCTACGGACTGTTTCAAGTAGTAAATCGACATTCAATAGTCATGGTATTAGAATGGCTAAATCAGCATTCACTCTACGGACTGTACCACGTAGTAAATCGACATTCAATAGTCATGGTATCAGACTGGTTAAATCAACATTGACTCTCCGGACTTTATCACGTAGTAAAACGACATTCAATAATCATGGTATCAGAATGGCTAAATCAGCGTTCACTCTACGGACTGTATCACGTAGTAAATCGACATTCAATAGTCATGGTATCAGAATGGTTAAATCAGCATTCACTCTACGGACTGTTTCACGTAGTAAATCGACATTCAATAGTCATGGTGTCAGAATGGCTACATCAGCATTCACTCTACGGACTGTACCACGTAGTAAATCGACATTCAATAGTCATGGTATCAGAATGGCTAAACCAACATTTACTCTCCGGGCTGTATCACGTAGTAAATCGACATTCAATAGTCATGGTATCAGAATGGCTAAATCANTGACATTCAATGGTCATGGTATCAGAATGTTTAAATCAGCATTCACTCTACGGACTGTATCACGTTGTAAATTGACATTCAATGGTCATGGTATCAGAATGTTTAAATCAGCATTCACTCTACGGACTGTATCACGTAGTAAATCGACATTCAATAGTCATGGTATCAGAATGGCTACATCAACATTGACTCTCCGGATTGTACCACGTAGTTAATCGACATTCAATATTTTCTGTATCAAAAAGGCAAAATCAACTTTCAACATAAAATAGTCTACTTTAACTATTATGCTTTATCAAACACTTCACGTATCACTGTGTCGCCCTGGCTATATCAGTATTCAGGTATCACTGTATCGCTCTGGCTATATCAGTATTCACGTATCACTGTATCGCCTTGGCTATATCAGTATTCACGTGACACTGTATCGCTCTGGCTATATCAGTATTCACATATCACTGTATCGCTCTGGCTATATCAGTATTCACGTATCACTATATCGACCCGGGTAGGCCAACTCTCAGTATTCCCTTAAACAAATCGTCTGAATCAACATTCAGTATTTACAGTAACAAACCGGTTGGTTAAAATTTCAGGATTTAAGTTACCAAACATCAAATCAACAATGAATATTTTCTGTGTCAAATAGGCAAACTCAACGTTCAATATTTGCTATAACAAATTGTTTAAATCAATAGTCAGTATTTACTTTAACAAACCATTGAAATCAGCATTTAATATTAACTGTGACAAACTGCTTCAATCAACTTTCAGTATTCACTAAAACAACCCGTTTAAATGAACGTTCAGGATTTACTGAAACAAACCGTTTCATTCAACATTCAGTATGTACTTTAGCAAGCCATATAATTTAGCATTCACTATATCTTACCAGAACAGTTATGTTAACATTCAGTGTTTGCCGTACTAAACTGATAAAAAAAAGAGACGCCGTAGCCAACGAGTGACTGCTACGTATACGTTTATACTGTAATCGAGTAAGTTAATGGTGCAATTAAGAAAAAAAACGATGCGAGGTTTTCTTTTAAAACTAAACAGGTAACTTATGAGAGTTATATAAACATGATAACCGACGGTCACGTCATTTTTAGCTCACCTGGCCCGAAACAACTTCTTCTTAATAACCGCAAGTCCTAGTGTGATGATATTTGGCCAGAAGCAAACTGGGATGAAGGGCTAAAAAGTTTGTTCAAATAAATGACCTTCACCTATTTTCAAGGTCACAGGGGTCAAATATGTTAAAAACTTTAAACAACTTCTTCTGAAATACTAAGAGGCCTAGGATAATGATATTTGGCAAGTCACATGCTGGGATGAAGGTCTACAAAGTTTGTTCAAATGAATGACCTTTACTTATATTCAAGGTCAAAGGGGTCAAATATGTTAAAAACCTTTAAACAACTTCTTCTCAATAACCAAAAGGCCTAGGATGATGCTATTTTGCCAGTAGCATGATGTGATGAAAGGCTACCAAGTTTGTTCAAACGAATGGCCTTGACTGATATTCAAGGTCACAGGGGTCAAATATGTTTAAAACCTTGAAACAACTTCTTCTGAATAACCAAGAGGCCTATGATGGTGATATTTGGCAAGTAGCATGCTGGATGAAGGTCTACCAAGTTTGTTTAAATGAATGACCTTGACAAATATTCAAGGTCACAATGATGAAATATGTTTTAAACATTTAAACAATTTCTTCTAAATAACCACAAGTCCTAGGATAATGATATTTGGCCAGTAGCATGTTGTGATAAAGGGCTACCAAGTATGTTCAAATGAATGACTTTGACAAATATTTAAGGTCACAGGGGTCAAATATGTTTAAAACCTTTAAACAACTTCTTCTCAATAACTAAGAGGCCTAGGGTTATGATATTTGGCCAGTAGCATTCTTGGATCAAGGGCTACCAAGTTTGTTAAAATAAATTACCTTTACTTATTTTCAAGGTCACAGGGGTCAAATATGTTTAAAACCTTTAAACAACTTCTTCTGAATAACTAAGAGGCCTATGGTTATGATATTTGGCAAGTAACATGCAGGGATGGAGGGCTACCAAGTGTGTTCAAATGAATGACTTTGAAATATATCCAAGGTCACAGGGGTCAAATATGTTTTTAAAAAAAACTTTAAACGACTTCTCAATTAGCAAAATGCCAAGGGTGATGATATTTGGCCATTAACAGGCTGGAATGAAGGGCTACAAAGTTTGTTAAAATGAATGACCTTCGCCCATATTCAAGGTCACAGTGGTCAAAATCTTTAAATGACTTGTTCTGTATAACCAAAATGTCCAGGGTAATAATATGGCAAAAGCATGCTTGGTTGAAAGACTATAAAATCTGTTCAACCTAATGTCCTTGTTCGACATTCAAAGTCACAGTCGTCATATGTTTAAATCTTTTAATAGGTTCTTGTGAATCAAACACTGATATTCTGCCTCTAGCTGTATTTTAGTCCACGTTTAAGATTACAAGTGTGAGATTAATACCAGGTGAGCGATTCAGGTCCATTGGGCCTCTTGTTATGACAATATCTTGTGATCTTTGTTATGAAAATGATGCTTGAGGCCGAGTAGGAATGAGATTGAGTCGATCAGTTTGCTGATTGATAAGCAAACATCAGACAGCTAGGTTAGTTAGCAGGTCCATACCAAAAATGCATTTCATAATAAATCTTTGTGTTTTGTTATTGTTATCGATTTCTATCAATGCTGAGAGTCCGTTCCATCCGTTACGGCACTACAATGAAGACAGTGAGTACAGGTAAAGGGGGAGCATCATTTTACGGCACTACAATGTAGACAGTGAGTACAGGTAAAGGAAGAGCACCATGTTACGGCACTACAATGAAGACAGTGAGTACAGGTAAATGGGGAGCATCATGTTACGGCACTACAATGAAGACAGTAAGTACAGGCAAAGGGGTAGCACCATGTTACGGCACTACAATGAAGACAGTGTGTACAGGTAAAGGAGGAGCATCATGTTACGGCACTAGAATGAAGACAGTGAGTACAGGTAAAGGAGGAGCATCATTTTACGGCACTACAATGTAGACAGTGAGTACAGGTAAAGGAAGAGCACAATGTTACGGCACTACAATGAAGACAGTGATTACAGGTAAAGGGGGAGCATCATGTTACGGTACTACAATGAAGACAGTGAGTACAGGTAAATGGGGAGCATCATGTTACGGCACTACAATGAAGACAGTAAGTACAGGTAAAGGGGGAGCACCATGTTACGGCACTACAATGAAGACAGAGAGTACAGGTAAAGGAGGAGCATCATGTTACGGCACTAGAATGAAGACAGTGAGTACAGGTAAAGGGGGAGCACCATGTTACGGCACTACAATGAAGACAGAGAGTACAGGTAAAGGAGGAGCATCATGTTACGGCACTACAATGAAGACAGAGAGTACAGGTAAAGGAGGAGCATCATGTTACGGCACTAGAATGAAGACAGTGAGTACAGGTAAAGGAGGAGCACCATGTTACGGCACTACAATGAAGACAGAGAGTACAGGTAAAGGAGGAGCATCATGTTACGGCACTAGAATGAAGACAGTGAGTACAGGTAAAGGAGGAGCACCATGTCACGGCACTACAATGAAGACAGTGAGTACAGTTAAAGGGGGAGCACCATGTTACGGCACTACAATGAAGACAGTAAGTACAGGCAAAGGGGTAGCACCATGTTACGGCACTACAATGAAGACAGAGAGTACAGGTAAAGGAGGAGCATCATGTTACGGCACTAGAATGAAGACAGTGAGTACAGGTAAAGGGGGACCACCATGTTACGGCACTACAATGAAGACAGAGAGTACAGGTAAAGGAGGAGCATCATGTTACGGCACTACAATGAAGACAGTGTGTACAGGTAAAGGAGGAGCATCATGTTACGGCACTAGAATGAAGACAGTGAGTACAGGTAAAGGGGGACCACCATGTTACGGCACTACAATGAAGACAGAGAGTACAGGTAAAGGAGGAGCATCATGTTACGGCACTACAATGAAGACAGTGAGTACAGGTAAAGGAGGAGCATCATGTTAAACACTGCCAATCTCCAAACAGCAACATTCTGAATTTGAACCAATCAAAATGACGGGATAGCTTGATTCACCGGCTTATTGACAATTGTTTACCATCGCCACTGTCGGGTTATGGATAGACAATTGTAAATGTGACAGAAAGCGATATTCACTTTTTACTTTATCAGAGTTATATAATAAAAATGAACCAAAACTTTTTAATAGGTTACCTTGTTTAGTTGAAATGATGCTTCTATTTTGGATTTCAATTTTTCTTCGCAAATATAAAAGAAAGTTCCAAAGAATGCTAGTTCCCTCGTTTTTGACCCTGTTTTCTTACAAATGTTCACTGTTATTATTATTAGTCCCTATGGACTAATAATGTTACCATCACAAATTGTTTGCATTTAATCAAATCATCAAAATGACCCTTTGGACCCCGCCATTCAGATATCAATATTGGATTTGTCAAGATATTTGTGGAAAAGTTTATCAAACCGGGCAAAGAATACCGCCATCAGAATTTGAATAAAGTATATACGTATGTTCAATAGTTGGGGAGGAGCTGCCGATTAATGTAAAAGTTGGCAGACAATAGACGACACACGACGGTCGGAAGGCGGACAATAGACGACACACGACGGTCGGAAGACAGACGACGCACTACGCTATACAGTGGTACTACGAAAACGGTGAGGTAATTAAGGATCATTGCTATACAGTGGTACCGCGAAAACGGTGAGGTAATTAAAGATCATTGCTATACAGAGGTACCACGAAAACGGTGCGGTAATTAAGGATCATTGCTATACAGTGGTACTACGAAAACGGTGAGGGAATTAAGGGTCATTGCTATACAGTGGTCCCACGAACACGGTGGGGTAATTAAGGATCATTGCTATACAGTGGTACCACGAAAACGGTGAGGTAATTAAGGATCATTTACACAATGGATCACTTACTCTTCTTAATTACAGTTATGTGGTGAACAGAAAAAATGTAAAACAAGAAACAAATATGTGAATACATGCAAATGCATTTACATGGCATAAAAGCATACTATAGAAACATCACAGAGCGTCATAATGGTATATCAAATAGAATACCATAGTAATAACACATAGCGTCATAATGGTATATCATAGTAATAACACATAGCGTCATAATGGTATATAATAGTAATAACACATAGCCTAATATTGGTATATCAAATAGAATACCATAGTAACAACACATAGCCTAATATAGGTATATCAAATAGTTTACCATAGTAACAACACATAGCCTAATATAGGTATATCAAATAGAATACCATAGTAACAACACATAGCCTAATATAGGTATATCAAATAGCATAATATAGTAATAACACATAGCCTAATATAGGGATATCAAATAGTATAATATAGTAATAACACATAGCCTAATATAGGTATAACAAATAGTATACCATAGTAACATCACATAGCCTAATATTAGTATATCAAATAGTATACCATAGTAATAACAAATCGCATAATATAGGTATATCTAATAATATACCATAGTAATAACACATAGCCTAATAATGGTATATCAAATAGTATACCATAGTAATAACAAATCGCATAATATAGGTATATCAAATAGTATTCCATAGTAATAACACATAGCCTAATATTGGTATATCAAATAGTATATCATAGTAATAACAAATAGCCTAATATTGGTATTTTAAATAGTATACCACAGTAATAACACATAGCCTAATCTAGGTATATCAAATAGTATTCCATAGTAATAACACATAGCCTAATATAGGTATATCAAATACTATACCATAGTAACAACACATAGCCTAATATAGGTATATCAAATCGTATACCATAGTAACATCACATAGCCTAATATAGGTATATCAAATCGTATACCATAGTAACATCACATAGCCTAATATTGGTATATCAAATAGTATATCATAGTAATAACACATAGACTAATATTGGTATATCAAATAGTATACCATAGTAACATCACATAGCCTAATATTGGTATATCAAATAGTATATCATAGTAATAACACATAGACTAATATTGGTATATCAAATAGTATATCATAGTAATAACAAATAGCCTAATATTGGTATTTTAAATAGTATACCACAGTAATAACACATAGCCTAATCTAGGTATATCAAATAGTATTCCATAGTAATAACACATAGCCTAATATAGGCATATCAAATAGTATTCCATAGTAATAACACATAGCCTAATATTGGTATATCAAATCGTATACCATAGTAACATCACATAGCCTAATATTGGTATATCAAATAGTATATCATAGTAATAACAAATAGCCTACAAAACAGTGTCAAACTGGCTAAGGCAACGTTTTATATACTGTACAAAACAGTGGCAAACTGGCAAAGTCAACGTTTTATAGACTGTACAAAACAGTGTCAAACTGGCTAAGTCGACGTTTTCTTTACTGTACAAAACAGTGTCAAACTGGCTAAGGCAACGTTTTATATACTGTACAAAACAGTTTCAAACTGGCTAAGTCAACGTTTAATTACAGTACAAAACAGTGTCCAACTGGTAAAGCCAACGTTTCTTATACTGTACAAAACAGTGTCAAACTGGCAAAGTCAACGTTTTATATACTGTACAAAACAGTGTCAAACTGGCTAAGTCAACATTTTATATACTGTACAAAACAGTGTCAAACTGGCAAAGCTAACGTTTTATATACTGTACAAAACAGTGTCAAACTGGTAAAGCCAACGTTTTATATACTGTACAAAACAGTGTCAAACTGGTAAAGTCAACGTTTTCTATACTGTACAAAACAGTGTCAAACTGGCAAAGTCAACGTTTTCTATTCTGTACAAAACAGTGTCAAACTGGCAAAGTCTACGTTTTCTATACTGTACAAAACAGTGTCAAACTGGTAAAGTTAACAGCACCAAACTGCCTTAATTTACCTTGAATATACCGTACAAACCAGCACCAAACTGCCTTAATTTACCTTGAATATACCGTACAAACTAGCACCAAACTGCCTTAATTTACCTTGAAGATACCGTACAAACCAGCACCAAACTGCCTTAATTTACCTTGAATATACCGTACAAACCAGCACCAAACTGGCTTAATTTACCTTGAATATACCGTACAAACCAGTGTCAAACTAGTTCAATCAACATTAAAAAACGGTACAAAAGAGTGTTTAACTGGCCAAATCAAGTTTTAATATAAACTGTAGAAATCAGTGTCGAACTGGCTAAATCAGATGTTTCTATAATCTGTGCAAAACAGTATCGAACTAGCTATAACAACTTTTACTACAAGCAGTACAACACACTGTCAAACTGACTAAATCAAAAATTGTATACACTTTACAAAACAGTGTCAAACCGGCTAAATTAACATTTAATAGACTGAACAATTAAGATCAAACCGGCTAGATCAAAGTTAACTATTTGTCGTAAAACCTGGAGAGCTAGTTAACATGTATTATTAATGTCTTCTTCTATTAAGTGTTATAAAACCAGATTCTCTATATAAGATAGCATGACTTGTTCCACGTCTTAACCCTGTTAAAATACGTGCTGCTACTAGTTGGATAGACTCCAGGACACTGCATTCATTCTGCGTGCAGTTTGCCCATATAATATTTGCATATTCCAGAATTGGACGTATAAATGTGATATATATAGTTTCAAGTGATTTTCTTTCAATTTTGTATTTCAACATTCTAAGTATATTAATTCTTTTATAAGCCTTTTCGTATATATAGTTTATGTGGTTAGACCAATAAGCATTGCTGTTGAAAAACAAACTTAGGTGTTTATGATAAGAAACATTAATAATTGGTGATTCGTCAAAATAAAGATAATTCCCCATTTTCTAGCCCAGATTGAAATTTTCCATAGATCATCATTTAATATATTAGCACATTCTTGCCTGTCTCCCTCAATGAGACCATATAAGGAGGTATCATCAGCAAACAGGTTGAAGTTTGAGGCCAATTCATCACCAATATGATTAGTATATAGTAAAAACAAAAAAGTACCAAGGACTGAACCTTGAGGTACCCCTGACTGTAATGTTTTCCAATTAGACTTATACCCATCTATGACCACTCTCTGTTGCCTATCATGAAGGTATGATGTGAACCATTCTAACATAATATTACATATACCATATTTTTTTTAGTTTATAAATTAGACCGTCAAAACTCTATCAAAGGCTTTGCTAATATCACAGAAAATCATTCTGTCCTCTTTGCCTTTGTCTAAATGTTTTACAATTTCATCGTATATCCTTAGGTAAAAAGCCTGACTGGTTCTTAGAAATAATGTTATATCTTGAGAGGTAATTGAACATATACTTAAAAAAATCAAATAGCTTGCTAAAAATATAGGGGTAACAGATATTGGTCTACATAATGTCCTGTTCGGTTATGTCTATTGTTGTAAAGTTATGTCGGGGTCGGGTGCAGTCGGGAGGTAAATCGTCAGCATTGTTTTCAGTTACGGAAATCGAAGTGAAATGATCGTTCAAAGATTCCGCTTTATCTATGTGGTGGATTTTCAGTTCGCCGTTGATAACCAATGGAGAGTCATTTTCGTTTTTGTTTTTGAGATTCATAACCGATTTTGCAATACGCCACCATTTTCCGGGGGTTATGGTTTTATCAATTAAAGAAGATTGAAGTTTAGATCAATATTTTTCTTTACTTTCCCGGACTAAGGATATAACTTCATTCCGAATAGATCTAAATTTTGCCCAGGAAGCTGGATGATGATGGAATGCTGGCGATTTCTTTGTCTAATTTGTCTAATTTGTCTAATTTTGAGTCCGATACCATTAGTCATCCAAATTTTATCGAAGGAAAGCTAATCCACAATTCTGCATAAACGGACAGGCATCAATTAATTTTCACACACAAATCGTGGTGTTCTGCGTCATCACGTGTATTCTCATTTCTTCTTATTGTCTGAACCCTCGAGTATTTGAATTCTCAATTATGAAGATCATCTGAAATAACTGATGGCCTTTTAGAAGTGTTGTACATCTTATCACAAAATCAATCATCCTTCACTCTCAATTCTGTCTCTTGGATGACCCTGACTGCAAAGCTTGGACAGGTTGTTCAAAGAACCGTTTCTCAAAACCTATTCATACTTTCTTCTTCAGTATAGACCAAAACTACACAAAACAGTATTTTACTGTTTTGGGTTATGATGAAAACTGATATCTCTTTTAATTAAGTGTTCCCCTCTTTTTGGCATTTCCCTGCCTGGTAGTTCAGAAACCTTTCATTCTGTAACTACAAGCATTGAATGGTCTGTACCATTTGAGTAGGGAACATATACTTTCACATAATACTTTATTCACAGAAACATTCTTTAGAGACAAAGTGACTGCCTATATATTTATATTTAAAAAAGTGCTGACCATAAGCTTCAGAGAATGTCTTACGGTGGCCAGAAGGAGCGTAATTATCTTAAATTCATGAGCAGAGCTCTACCTGATGGCTACATTTTGGACACAGTAGGACCATTCTCTGGAAGCCAAAATGATGCAAGCATTACAAAAAACATCATGGACAAACAAGCTCATATGGTTGGAGCAAGACGACAATATAGTCGATGATCGTGGCTTTAGAGATGTCCTGCCAATGTTAGAGGCATCTGGTATTAAAACCAGTATGCCCTCATATCTAAGACTGGTCAGGCTACAGGCTAACATTGACAGAACAGTTACTAAATCCCGATGGATTGTATCATCAACTGATTGGGCAGTAAAATGATTGTGTGTTGGTCACCTTGAAAAGGAATCAAACATCGAATCTTTTCCAAACATCTTCTCTGTTGATTAAATATTCATTCCATCCAAACTGGAACACTTGTTTTCTCCTTTTCTGTCGGTTATCAATCATGATGATTAGACTATATATATATAGTCATGAATTTTGATGTATAGACCATATAGCCATTTGATCCCTTCTTTGAATATGTTCCACCACATATTTTGGATTGATATTTTTGTCACTGGTAGTTCAGGACCTAGTCCATGCAAAAGTTATAAGATACTTTTATTCTAAGATGAACACATTTTTTGTCTGGAAAAAATCATTGCTTGAGATGGCTTCTGGCTGTTGATTTGTTTGTACAAATCTGATAACTAAACAAAGCAAGCTTTTTTTTATCTGTATACTGTAGTACATGATCCCTAGTTTTGGTTACATCATTAATGATCCTTCAGTGCATTGTTAGACAATATTCGTCTTTTGGGGGAAAAAACTCCGGCTTTTTGAAAATTTCAGTTTTATGCTTCTACGAAAAACGAACTAAGTACACATTTGAATTTTAATGGGTGCTTTTGTTGTGAAAAGGTTTAGGTCTACACCTCAACAAAAGCAAACTGAAATCAAAGGAGGGGCCATTTTGGACACCCCCCTCCCACCAGTGAAGAGAAATTTGTGTTTTTTTCCTAGACAATCTGTCATTGCACACACATGAAGTCATTACCCTACATGGATATAAGAGTTTGAATTAAACAAGATGCCCATGGGCCTTAACAGTCACCTGATATATTTATACAGAGAGTTGATTTTGTTTTTAACACGAACAGAAATATTATTCAAAGTGACAAAAAACAATAAAACCACCTTATTCAATATCTAGCATACAGATTTAAGACTAAAAAGTATTTGAAACTAGCACCTCTGATTCTAAACAAGGAAAATGAAGAAATTTTAGCACACCGACTCATTTCATTGAAATTGGTTCACGGTTTTGGAGAAGAAGTCGAATATGTAAATTGTTTACGGACGGACGCCGGACAAAAGGCGTTCGCAATAGGTCAATTGAGACTTTGTCTCAGGTGACCTAAAAAACACTTGTGCCGATGCAAAAGCATATCCCCTTTATAATATTTTCATCGTAAGATGCTGTAAAGTTACGAATTAAAGTGATCGTAGAGTAAGACACGTTGACCAGATTCCATGCAACAGTTGTCTTTACTGGCTCGACACAGCGTGGCTAAGTGCGTTGTTTTCAGTGGTTAAGAGTCGAGACACCGGCAATTTGCACTTTGCTTGACAAAGGAAACGGACGTCTTTGAAAGCATGCAAAATAAATTTTCACTTACTATGTTCTAAACAATTTCAGCATATATTATTCATACCAAACTGATAATTCTCATTCCTAATATTAGAGTGTATCATGGGATGCGAAGCCCTTCAATTAGACAAAATGCTCCATACTAAATCAGTCCTCTATTCCTACGTCAATGGTACATGTACTCACATCACCAGTTTTGAGCACAACATCTGCCTTCAAAGAACGGGGCACACGCTCCATTGAGATAACCCTGAATCTCCTTTCTTAGAGATGCACCATACATGTGTCAAAATCTCTTCTGAGAAAAGTTTCAGGAAAAGCATGCCCTCTAGAACCTTCAAATTCAAGTTGAGTTGAAAGATTTGCATTTCGTTAAGTTGATGATCTGAGAAAGCTGATCGTTGAATCTTAAGAACATACCTCCAATGGGTTAGGTCAGCTTAACACAACACTTCTTTGAACATAAATAAATTTATTTTCCATTCGAAATTACCAAACAGCAATTAAATTATAAAGAATTACACTTAAATTGCTGATTAAAACATTGCATATGATTTCATTAGCAATCAATGGTTTCGTTAGAAAGAAATATATCATTTATTAGCAATGATAACTTGAAACATAGGGGGTAGTGTACATGTATACAATGTAGATGTTATTATTGATATAGGGAAATCGTAGTTCTTATATATTGATCCACATGGGAAAATGTTAAGTTGCTGTTATTGATAATTGACCCATAGGGGGAAACCTCTATACTTAGGATTGCAAAGTACAAAGACTGTTAACATGGTTCTTTTAGTAAGTATATGACAATGACTACAGTTAAGTTTTGTAGAATTTCATATCTACAAACAAGTTGCAGTTTCCTTTTTTTCAAAATTTAGCCCTATATAAATACACAATCACTTCACACTTAGTTATCAAATGCCACGCTGGTAATAAAGCTGAAATCCAATTACTCTGTACATACAGCTTATAACAGAAAACATCCTAATCAGAAATTAATTTACATGTACCTCATATGAAACAACAAAAAAGGTTTATGTCTTGTTTACATTTTATATCTCCAGCTTCTTGACTAATAAAAACGCCTTTAATATCTTAAGTCAAAAAGCAGATTTTAAAACAAAGGTATAAAAGTCAACTCATCACATATGATGATTCTAAGAGATAGGGCTAAAGAATACTCAAATAAGATATACATATAGTTTAAGTGAATCCAAAATAATAATTCAATGATTTATCATCTTCAGTATAACTAATCATATGAACTGGAAATCATTTCACAGAAACATTTTGCTGGTTGGTATAGGGTCAGATTAAAATGTAGCACTAATTTAAGAACAGAAAATAATAATGAACATATTCTTATAGAAAACATTCCTGCTTAATTGATGAACAACAGTTAAATTTCAAGAGTTGTGTGAAGCACTTGTTGGTATTGCACATGAAAAATATAAATAAAAGGCCTAGAAAGTCAAAATATTTCAGTAAAAGTAGTTGACTGTCTCTCTGATCCCATGTAGGCTTCATAACAAATCTGGTTGAGATCCATACAATGTGTTTATGGTTATCTGGGTTGGGATCTCAATTGGGGCTATTTAAGGATCCGAGCGCAGGTCCCTACAACCCTGGCCAAAACTTTGAGCTTATCCCTGTGGCATGCTTGTGCTATTTACTTGATGCTCAGCAAGGATACAAATGGATATATGATGGGAATATCAACCGTTTCCAAGTTATGACCCAATGACTTAGAAAAATGTTCACACAATTGGTCTTCAAAACTTGGCTGTAAACCTTACGATTCTCCAGATAATATTGTGTAACCACTATGACCTTTCATCCCAGCCACACTCACAGTTACATAAGAAAAAAACTAATACATTGCTGGTGTACAGACCGAATTATCAACGGTGTAGAACTTATTGATCTTCAAAAATAACACATGAAGTTCTTTACATGAAGCTCATTGATAAAAGTAGAGTTTATAACACTCCAACACCAGGGCCCATATTCATGAAACCGTTCTTGTGCTCAAGCATGGTTTCTGTGCTCAAACCAACTTTCTTGTAACTCGCTTGAATCATATCAAACAATATTTCGAATTTCAGCTTCAGGAAGTTATTCTAACAAAGAGGTTGGTGGACTGATGGATAGATGGAAGACAGACCCTGCCTGTGCATCATCATCATACCGTTAGTTCACTGGCACTTTGTGCCAGGGTGAGCTGAACATATTCAACCCAAGAATGAAATTTAAGTGATATTCATCAAGAAACCAAGAACATTCTGCTATTACATCTTCCTTTATAAAGACATTATTTGTCACAGTAGGAAATTATCAACTTATTTTACTGTAAGTTGTTACACTTCATGAGTAAAAACAAAACAATAATGGTTAATTACTTGCAAAACTAAATATATAATGAAAAACACCAGTATGTCTATTTCTTGAAAAAATTAGTCTTAAATAAACATAGTGCTTAAACAATATTGTCAAAACAATTTATTTCCAGAATAGGCATGGTCCAGATTAAATAACTTAGAGAAGAAACAGGTTATACTGTGTAAACGAAGTCAGGATATGACTATTGTGAGACAAGGGACCCCAATTAACTGTACAGTACAGTTTAGTAAGCACTCATTAACTGGACACTTTTTTTTTACGAAAATCAAGGTAGCAGAGAGTACAAGTTCTATAGAAAACCCTGGTTAACTTTGACACTTCACTGACATCAAACCAAAGAGGTCATTCATACCGGATGGTACAAGTGTTTAAGAAGATCTGCAGCTTGTTAAATTGCACACTGAGGGGTATTCATTATATCAATTTGCTTTATTGAACCATAAACAACCTTTTATTTTTCAAGCTTAGACATATCAGGTAAATAGATTACACAATTTAAAATTGTTTAGTATACCAAAAGCACAAGTCCAAATAAATACATCAACTCATTAGACATGACGGTAAATAAAATTAGAATTTTAATATAACACTCATAGCTGATATAAAAAAAAAGACATTCCTTCAACCATCCCAACCCACACAAACTAAAACAGCCAATCTTGCATGCATTTTCTGACCAACCCATCAATGTTTAACAAAGAACAATCAAATAAGACTGATTCCAATGACCTGCTATAGACAAGATTACCTTGAAAGATCAATATTTGTATAAAAACCTAAAGGTAATTCACAAATTGCAGAACAAAATCACACTCATTAAAACGAAGAAATAGTATTTCTCTAGAAGCTCCTCTGCATCTCCTAATACATGGTTTAGTAAAAATATTCCCTGTTGGGATACACACATTTACTGGGCCTTAACCCACTCTTTGAGACCTACTGGCCTGGATGAACTGTCTGAATGCAGGGAAGGGAAGTCTGAGCCTGTATCGTGCATAGCAATGTGCTGATTGTAGTCCTTCTGAAGCAGGACCTGTCTACATGTGGGACATGTTGAAAAGGAGGATACCTCCCATCCCCCTTTCCTGCCCTGTCCACCCCTGTGTTTATCACATGGTTTGGCAGACTCCACACTGCTGTAGATTGACAAAAGCTCCTGCTGTTTGTCGATGTCTGGAAGAAGAGCAAGCAGTTCAGGAAATATTGAAGTAAAATCTTTCTTGCCAAGTAGCCTTTCACATTTGTCATAATAACTGGCAGCTAACATCTTTCCATTGCGAAAATCTCCAGCCCAGGTCTTGAACTTATCAAAGTCGTCATGTGCATGACTTCGAATGTCGGATATCAACTTGTGATTGCGTGACTGGGAATCTTCAAGCGGTGCGTACAGAAAATTTCCCATGTTGACTGACATTGGCACTATTGTTTTCAGAGTCAAACTTTCCTGTATTGCATGCAGGTCCAAAATCTCATGTTGTTTTGACTCAGATTTTACAGATGGTCCAAAACCTGGTGGGGGCTTTTTAGGTGCTGGTGTGGTACTAAAGCCTGGTGGGGAGGTAGGCAATGGTGTCTTTGAAAAGCCAGGCGGAGCTTTAGATTTCTTGTTACCACCAAGTTGAGGATACTCTTCTTCATCCAATAGTAAAGTGGCTTTTTCTTTGCGTGGCTTTTCAGAAGCACGTGACTTGGGCATGCTATTTGCCATCTGAGGAAAGTCTTCTGAACCCAATAAATCAAATTTGTTGAAGGTAGAATGATTTTGGACAACAGCAACAGTGGCCCTTTCTTTCAGTTCAATTTTTCCACTATTAGTGACTACTGGGTACTCTTTAAATTCCTCATCACTTACATGTTTGATGTCTTTTGAATCCTTTACAGATACAGGTTTTTTGTTCTCCTTTAATTTTTGCAGTTCAGTTGGATCTGGTTTGCTTTTCGCTGAGATTAAGGAGCTTGCAATGTTATCAAGAGAAGCATGTTCTCCAAATGAAGATGAATTCTTCTCATCAGAAGTTGAATCAACACCTTTCTGTTTTTTCTTCTTTTTCTTACTTTTACCAGCAGTGTCTGTATGTACACCGTCTTTGTCACTCTTAAAATTATGTATACTGAATTCTTGCTCATCAACATCAAACCAATCAACTTTCTTACTGGTTGGTTGTTTTTTATTTTCTGAGCTTGAATTTCCCCATTCTAAGTTAAGTGGAGGCTTGTTTCCCAATGAAGGAAATTCCTTATCATCTACAAGAACCCTTTTAGAGGGAATTACATTATACTGTTTAGATTTACTAACTTTGGAGTCTAATGTCACATTGATATTTTGTGTAATGTCTTTGTTTTGCTGGACAGATGAGTGAGGTTTTGGGGGAGGTTGAACACCCCATGATCCAACTTTAGAAGAAGTGTTAGATGAAGATATATTTTTGGCAGTGGGTAGTCCTGGGAAGTCTTCATTTTCCACTGACTGCATAGAACTTGGTCGGTTCTTATTTGAAACAGTAGAAACACTTTTACTAGCTCCAACACGAGGTTCATGGTAGCCTTTCCTTGACCCTGAAGGTTTAGGTGGCTCTGGAGCTCCTCCACTAGACTGACCCAGACTGGGAAAGTCGGCCATTCCTAGTCGGCCATGCTGGACAGACATGTGATTGGCCTTGGCTAGTTTGTGGGCTATTGACCGGTCCTTAATTAATTCCTCTGTTGGTGTGGGTGTATGAGGCCTCCCAGATGGCATATTTCCCAGCAATGGAAAGTTGGATTCATCATGTACAATCTTTGGGCTTTCCAGCTCCATCTCCTCAACTGGACTCTTTGACTGTTTTGTTCTGTCTTCCTTCATTGTTTCAAGTGACACCTTGATTGCCTTTTCAACATCTTCATCCCTAAAATATAAAGTGGCAATGTAGCTGTGTATACTCTCATTCTATTGTTCCTTCCCCGTCACCCTGTGGCAATAAACCTGACCATGTCTCTCCCCATTCTCCCTATGACAGTAGCACCTATTCACCTTGTGACAATTGAACTTGTCGATGTTTACCCCTTTGAAAACATACTTATCTATGTCTGTCCTTGTGACAGTTTAACTTGTCTATGTCTCCCCTGTGACAGTATAATTACTTGTGCCCCTATTTGTGACAGTAAACCTATCCCTATATACTTAACTATGTCCTTCCTTGTAACAGTCAACTTGCCTCTGTCTCCGCTTAAACTATAAACATACCATGTCTCTCATATTGACAGTTAAATTCTCACTGTCCCTCCCCATTCTGTTCCTTGGTTGTGACTATACTGACCTAAAGCGTTCCCTGTATGATGCCTGCCTGCCAGATACACCATTTCGACCTCTGTTCCTTGGTCCTGTGTCTTCATAGGCATCTCTAGATACAACACCTAGTTATACAAAATAAACTCCGTCATATCTTCATATTAATTTGAAAACACTTAATACTGGTAATCAAACAAATCAACCGACTCTCACATTCTGACAAACTACTTTGCTATAGAACTTACACAAACACCTTACTCTATATAGGAATGATGTAAAAAATCTTATACAAACCAATCAGTATATTATAGCAATGATGTAATGTCTACATCAAAACAAATCCTTGTGCTTCAGGAATGATATTTTTATATAAAAAAAATTGTTATTTATACTTATATAGTGTTGTATGTATGATTTCAATACAAAATAATTGAACAACAGAATCTATTGACACATGCAAAGTGTTTGGTATAAATGGTATGACAAATATCCATCTTTACTGCAGGGCCATCTTTATGCTCAGTGCAAAACATGTACAGTGCATAGTGTTACTTATTCTGCTCGGTGGTTCTTTACTTAATATTCAATGAGAGGCCAACTGTTATATTCAATGAGAGGCCAACGGTTTGCTACCAAGACGAGCAAATTACTTGTATGAGGTATGTTTTGGTTGGTGACTGTTCACCTGATTTTTATGGTGTTATCAGCTGTTTACTAACTTAAAAACATTAGGGACAGTTTATAGTCACCTAAAGTGCCAGGCATTTTTGGTTGGTTCGTTATTTAATTGTTGCGAGTCCTTCAGCATATATTTTGTCTAATGACTGTTTACCTCTCTGTGGTTTTTTCCGTGGCGCCAGTTGTATGTCAACATCAACGACACGTGACTGTCTGACCTGAGCCTTGGTGAGTCCACGATTGTGTTCATTGGCTTTGTGTGCTTTAAGGTCTATTTCAGAGCGGAAAGCATGTGTAAACTGTGCATTCACACAGTCTTCATCTTGACACAGGTAATGTTGATCCCTGAAGTGTCGCTTCAAATCCTCGTAATCACTGCAATATTAAAAAAAATAAAAAAAATCATTAATAGTTCTAAATAATATCAGTTCCGGACTTTGCCTACTATTTTCAACACAGTAATAGTATATAACAGGACTTATGTATAACCTAGCAGTTACGTATCACACAGGACATTTTTAGAACCTTTAAGAGTTGTATATAACAAAGAAACTGTTAAACCTATCAGCTGTGTGTAGCACATAGTTGTTTTACCTAGGAATTGAACTTTCAATTTGTGTATAAGTGTAGAGTTACCCGTAGTATTCATTGCAACCATCCTTCTCACAGAAGTGGCAGTAGTAGTGTTCTTTCCTAAGGTGGCGATACAGCTCATCATTGTCCATATAGCGCTCTTCACAAAAGTGACACAACGGATGACCCTTGTAGGATGTGTCATCCTTGTCCCCCACACGGCGATGGGTAGCAAGATCCTGACGGCTGTAGTATTTCCTCTCAAATGGGAAAATCTAAAATATGCACAGAAAGGGTGATTTTGAAGTATTGGTAACGGATCTAACAAGAATTATGAGGTAATTGAAATCATATCAATAACACACAATTACTTAAATTGATGGATTAAGCATTTATAGTCCAAGCCCACAATAACCAAAATTGACAGTTAAAACAATTAAAATGCCCCTGAAGACACATTTTAACTCTTCAAATTCATTATGAAATCAGGGGTGAATGAGTTAACCAACCATTCATCAAATAAAACATTTTATATTGCAATGACATGGGTGATTCTTGTTGTTGAAGGAATCAATTTAAAATTGCATAGTGATAAGGGGTAATGCATTTAACAACACTAATGTTAGTAATAACATTAACTTGGCATATATATTACTGACATCATGGAAATAATATGCCTACTCAAACTATGGGTGCTACATATGTAACATAATAATATACAACATTTGTGTGACTGGTAAGATTTACTTATACATGTATAACTGCCACTATGGGTGCTTATATATATATACATGTATATGAGTATATCACCTTAAATCCTACAACTGACTGGATATACTGTCACTATGGGCGATACATATAGTTCCACTATGGATATCATAACTTTAAATCATACAAATGACTGGATATACTGTCACTATGGGCGATACATATAGTTCCACTATGGGTATCATAACTTTAAATCCTACAACTGACTGGATATACTGTCACTAAGGGTGATACATATATCTACACTATAGTTATTATAACTTTAAATCCTACAACTGACTGGATATACTGTCACTATGGGCGATACATACTGTACATTTCCACTATGGGTATATAACTTTTTATCATATGTTTACTAATAATAACACCCTTTTTGTATATGTGATAAGTCTAAAACTTCCACAAGTTGATATCAGCCCAGGTGATATCACACCCCTTGGAGTGATATCACCCCCCCTTGAAAGTGATATCACACCCCCTAGAAAAGTGATATCACACCCCCTCCTAAATTTCCGGATTTTGCCGTTTCCACTTATTGTTGTCTGTTTTTAATGTAAACAAACGAATTGTTGGCATGGAATAAATGCCGTTTCATGGAAAATAATTTAAAGATTGATTTACAAAGCCCCACCCAAATTTCCGGATGGTGCCGCCTCCGTATTTGAATTTGCTTATTAGTGATACACCTGTCATCTGCGTAAACAAAAACAACGATGGCGACGTCTATAGCTAGTACTGGCGAGGAGATGTTAGAGGAACTGGCATCAAGGATTGTTGAACTAGATGAATAAATCCTGGAAAAGGAGACGAAACGTGTAATGGATGCAGGGGGGCGATTTAATAATGCTAGTTAATGATACCGAAGCTTTCGTGGAACAAGAATACATTTCCTCATCTTTCATGAGGAAAAAGAATACTGCGAGAAAAACGCAATTCCGACATCAAAATTTTCATGGATTATCTGATGTCTCAAACTGAGTGGAGATCTCCATAGTCTATTGACTCGGTTCAGTTGGCGGACTACATGGCCAGGTTCTTCATGAACGTCAGAAAAAACGATAAATCTGAGTACGAACCAGCAAGTCTGAGGTGTTTACAATCGTGTGTGTATGTGTGTGTGTATCATATTGTGTGTTGTCTCTGTATTGTTTTGTATATATGTTATAACTGATAAGTCAACCAACTTAAAGTAATAAAGAACTTGAACTTGAACAATCAAGCATTAACTGTTACCTACAGGAGAAACACTACGACGTCAATATTTTGACCGGAAAAAAAACATATGATAATTTTTTTATGATATGACCATTTTGATAGCACACCCCATATCAGCCCTCGAGGCCTGATATCAGCCCTCTGGCCTTCGGCCCCCTGGCCGATATCAGGACTCTCAGGCTGATATGGGGTGTGATATCAAAATGGTCATATGATAATCTCTAAAAATCATACAACCGCCTTGATATAACGTCACAATTGGTGATAACTGATATATCTTGAAATTAATACAAGCTCTGTCTGGACATATGCTGACACTATATGATTGCCATACCTGTAAATGGACAATGCAGAGGTCACAGTAGAAATGTGTATGATCCTTCCTCATATGGGTCTGAAGTTCCTTAAATAATCTGAATGACTGTTTACATTTAGGGCAATTATGTTCTAGCAATTTATCCACTCTTTTCTTAATGGAATCGTCTTCGTAGAAAATTTTCAGCTTCCGGTTTGGAATGTAACCATGACGAGGTATAGCCGACTCCTTTACCAAATTATGAACCATATAAACCTGAAAGATAAAGGAAATTTGTATGGGTAAAATTTAACACATACACAATGTGGTACAAAACAATTAAGTATTTCAAGTAAATTAACATTGATAATGCAACTGTATGAAAATATGTTTTTTCCAATAGCAGGGCTAGCTAGCTCTGTGTCAGGTGAGGTGCAAGGTTTTATTATGTGATAAACATTTTCCTGACAATGGGTAGCAATAACTTGGCAGCAACCATTTCCAATCCTTTCCATTCATTTGAATAAAAATTAGTGAATTTGTAAATTGTCTATTTGCCCAATCACTGGCTTGCCCAGACTCTCCTCAAAATAAATTTTCCTTCTCATAACTTTAACTAAGTGAATAATAATTAATTATTATGTAACATATAGTGTCATTTGTGCTGCATAAAACTAACTTCGTGACAAAATCTTCAATTAGTTGAAGGTGGTCATTTTATGGTAGAACTAGAACAGGTCCAGTACACTCTGCCGATTGAGCTATATAGCTGTAAAGACCTATAATAGCTCTATTAACCTATCTGAAATAGGTCTTTTGAGCTATTTTCAAGTGATTTTCTTTTTTAAGGAAAACGGAACAAAGTCGCATTTAAAAGAAGATTGTATCATTAGGTTGATAACAAAAGACATTAAATATAAGTATTCTTCTTTTTTTTAAATGATGTAAAGAAATCGGAAATTTTACATTTATGAAAAATGAAAATAAACAGGTGTATATAGCTATATAGGTCTTTATAGCTATAATAGCTCAATCGGCAGAGTGTACTGGACCTGTAGAACTAGTTACTACCAGTTACTTCCTAATATAGTGGCTTGTCCAGTAGATCAAATATTCTTTATACAAATGTGAGTGTACATATAAAGTAAAAAAGTAAGATGGGCAAATAAACAATATTCAAGTCATTGTACCTGACTCAGATCAGTTCTACAAATAGGACAGTAAAACTGATTGCATAGTGCCCGCATCCTCAGAGCACACCGGTAACAAACAGGGTGATCACAACTTCCTATCGCGTAAATTTCTACTGCCTCGTGGCAGACTGGGCAAGATTCAGTAGCACTCTCTCTCCTCTGGCGTTTCTCCATAATTCTTCTTGCTTGATCAACAAAACGAAAGTTGTGTGGTGACGTGTATGGCTTTCTTAGTAAAGGAAGGGCGAACACGGTATATATAACCGTTTTGTGTTCTTAATATAGATTCTCATGGCTACCCTTTCCGCCAGGTTGTGCAATGTGTGTGTAAAACGTCATCAAAACATGAGATGAGATGGTGAATGAAAGAACAATTAATATCTGCAGTGATCAACAAATTAGATAATCTACATTATGTTTGGTTTATTAATTGCATAATAAAGATATGTTTTATAAAAAAAATACTGTTTTAAAATAACTCGAAGAAAAAATTAATTATAAAGTCATGACGTCATTTCCTCGTGATCATGATAATTTTTCCAAGATGTCCGGGACGGAAGGTGGTGCTTTCGGTGCTGGGAAAGCAGGGACCCCATTTGACCCCTTAGCGTTCATTAAAAAGCCTCAAGTGATATTGCGAATAGCAAGCACGGTATGTTGACATTCTTCGTTGGTTAACGTGTTTATGGATAATTCTGTAGTTGGTTTGTTTACAATCAAAACATACCGGTGTTGTGAGAAGTTGACATGTAACAGCAAGAATTGTTTAGCTAGAAGTAGAACGTTCTAGTTTGATGCGACTTTGACTCGAAGCATATCTGTGCTAGAGCCAAAGCACATATCTAACATAGACATGCCAGAAGTTAAGCTCCAATCCCCTTCGACCACTGGCCGTGAACAATATATTGCAACAGAAAGGGGTTTTTTTCGCTCCTTGACACTCTTGAGCTATTATGATCAGGTAGCTTTTAGGCCAAAAGCTGTTCCGAAAAAATGCTTATGCGTTTTAATTTCACTTTATTCCCAATGTAAGTAACGGTTACTGTGAATTACAGGTTGGGTACAACAATGCATATGGGTAATAATCCTACATTTGGGCAACAGTTACCGTGTACAGTAGGCCTAATAATTTTAATATTACCCAAGAACTTATCTTATTCCATGATATTACTGAAATGGATTGAGGGGATAAAATGAAATAAAAACAAAGTTATTTTCCCCTATATGGTTTCTATTGAACCGTGTAAATTCATCTAATTAGTCCATAGCCACGTGCGCAATACCTTTTTTTATTCTATTTTAAACAATATGCATGTTTGTTTGTGTGGTTACCTCGTCACTCTAAAAATAGCAACGACCAACTATAGTAATTCCAAAATTACATTTATATTATACATGTGTCTCGGTCAATACTGTATATATTAGACCTTTTTACTCTATGCAACAGGAACCGCAAGGATCAACAAATGAATAGTGAAGAGTAGTAAGCAACAAATTATGCAACAGGAACCGCAAGGATCAACAAATGAATAGTGAAGAGTAGTAAGCAACAAATCTAGTCCTTTATGACTATTCATTGTTGCGGTAACCGTTAGATAGTCCCACAGATATTCCAATGAGTATACTATCCCAACTAGGGTGTATCAATATTTTTGTATAATGCAGATATGTGAATGTTACAATAGAATCACCAACGGTTGTCAATAGATACGTAAATGTAAAACAGAGGGGAAAACTTCAATTGACAAATAAAGATATCAGTGTTTTACTTTTTTTTCGTAAAAGAAACTACACTTTCAAGTCTGTATCAACTACATTAAACATAACTTCTAGGCATCAGACAATAACATGCAGTTTTCAGACAGTTTACACACCTACGTATCTTACCTGTGAATAGGCAGGTAAGCTAATTACCTGTAACTCTTACCTTTGAATACCATGACCAAAGGGCATTTATGACCCAACTCCAACAAACACGGGCATGTTTCCCCATTTAACAGGAGAAAGAACGTTTTATGTACTTGTCTTTCATTTTGTCACTAATATAAACAGTTAACTGAATGTGTGTACTATCATACCTCACTTTATACATTATGATTATATGATGTGTCTGAGGATACAAATAAAATTGCAAACTTGAAAATATTTTTGTCCATTTCAAATGAGTACCTGTATTTCACCTATTTTTACTAATGGTTAACTTAGTGATGCATCCAGAATTGATGGTGTTAAATTCAATAATCTTTAGACACAAATGTATATATATATACCTGTAACTCTTACCTTTGAATACCAATATATATATATAAATATAAAATATATATCTTTATTTTATATTTATATATATATATAAAGAAAACATTGAGAAGTCCTTGTGTTGGAATTAAATATAAAAAATAGAACAAAAGACAGAGATAGCGTCTCTAGGCCTTTCTCGGGTTGATTCCCCGTTCATCAGGAGACTGCAAAGTCATTATGACGTCACAGGAGGCTTAAAGCACAGCATAGTTTGAAAAGATTCATCTACACTAATAATAAGTCATAATGACTTAGCATTATTGATGACGTCATACTTTCTTGTGTAAACAACTATGCCTGTTTTCAAAATAAACAGTCTCCTGATGAATGGGGAATCAACCCCAGAAAGGCCTAGAGATGCTATCTCTGTCTTTTGTTCTATTTTTANTATATATATTGACGATATATGGATTTTCATAAAATATCTAATTTGGAAATGTCTATCATTTTTGTAGTAATGTTTGAACTGGAATGACATTGATTGAAATGTTAAAAAACTATCAACATTAAAAAAAAGTTATTTTGTAGTTTAATATGGATCCACGATTTTGTGATTATGAATAGTGCATCATTTTAAAAGCTGACATTGAATGTAAATTGAAAATCCTTGAACATAAGCAGCATGCAAAGAACGATTGACAGGTACTATCTTAATTATCACAAGGTTTGGGGGGGGGGGGGGGTTGGACTCTTAGGTAATACTTAATCATGAATTGACATCGGTCAGGTGACAAAGTGAATAGCACATTTGCCTTTCACTAAGATGGCTGAGGTTCGATTTCTCAATCGCATGTGAAAAGGAACATGCATGGGGTTGCCTGCCCAACCATGTGTTTTTTCTTAGTACTCTGGTTTCCTCCCACATTAAGAACCCTGCGCTGTCATCCAGGTCAAAAAGAGTGATTAATATAATATGATGCTAACTTGTTTAATAATTTTTGTCAAAAAATAAATAAGAGGTATGGTGTGTAAGGGATGCAGAGCCCTTTTTTCAGTTCGCAGCATTGACATGGTCTGAAAATACAGATTAATGACTGCATATGTAGTGCACGTATACATGCATTTGGCAACTCTGTCTCAAAATAGTACATGTATGTAAACGCTCACTGTTGTATCAGACACTGTGTTAGTCAACATATATAATAATTTTCATTGTGTACAGGGAAATTAAACACAAGGAAGGAACTATTAATCCTGCAATGAACATCAATTCAATTAGTCAATTTGTGTTTATAAATATATCTAACATATATATGTTAGATAAATACTAGATTAAATATTATCAGTTAGATGTTTATAGACGACAGTTAATTTTGAAATAAAACCAATAACAATATATTGACAGTCAAAGTTAGAAAAATTGCAAACTTTATGTTTGCAAATATTGTGTATGCAAAATCTCCCTGACAGATTTGTTTTCATCAAAAAAACTCTAGGGAAAAGTTGATATTTCAAAATGGAAGCCATTCTAAACCCATTTTCATGATTTCTGAACTTATTCTGTTAGTCGGAATGAGAGAAAAGTACTCTTTCATGCCCAGGGGTGTAGATAGGGAATTTCTAAAGCATAGCTTTCTATCATTGGAAAACTACCTGATGTGACAGCTAGCTATGTTAGAAAAGGTATCTATACGCATGGACATAGTTTTTAATTGGTCCATTTTTCATGGACAATTTGTTAATGCATGCCTTGATTGGAATAAATTTTATTGCTATAATGCCTTCAATAGCTACTATTTATACTTATGATTTCACAGTGATAAATAATTTCGAAACAAATTATATTGTTCAGCTGAAAAAACTTCTGATTCAAGTTGTTCTTTTTAGGTTACCTGCATGACCATTGGTCATGGTAACCTATTGTGATAGCCTTTTGTCCGTTGTCGTGCGTTAACTTTTCCTTGTGAACACGATAACTTCAGTAAATGTTAACCGAGTTTGATAAAACTTTGTATGCAGCTATATATCAATAAGATCTCGGAGGATTTCGAAAATGGGAATTATTGGACAGTCACTTACAGAGTTATTGCCCTTTGTAATAATATTATTATTGGACCTTGTGAATACGATAACTTGAGTCAATGTTAACCGAGTTTGATGAAACTTTGTATGCAGCCATATATCAATAAGATCTCGGGACAAGTTCGAAAATGGGAATTATTCGACAGTAACTTTCAGAGTTATTGCCCTTTGTAATATTATTATTATTGGACCTTGTGAACACGATAACTTGAGTAAATGTTAATCGAGTTTGATGAAACTTTGTATGCAGCCATATATCAATAAGATCACGGACGAGTTTGAAAATGGGAATTATTGGACAGTCACTTACAGAGTTATTACCCTTTGTAATAATATTATTACACTATTTTGTATTGGACCTTGTGTTCACGATAACTTGAGTAAATATCAACCAAGTTTAATGAAACTCTGTATGTAGCCTTATATCAATAAGATCTCGGATACTTTCGAAACAGGGAATTATTTGACAGTTACTTTATGAGTTATTGCCCTTTGTAATAATATTATTATTGGACCTTGTAAACATGATAACTTGAATAAATGTTGACGGAGTTCAATGAAACTTTGTCTGGTAATTATTTGACAGTAACCTGCAGAGTTAACGCCCTTTGTCATTATATTATTATTTGTCCCTGTGATGTTGATTAACACTACACATGAATAGATGTAAATTCATGTGGTACACCTTTTTTTTCATTCATGACACATTTTTGCTACTAACAAGGTGCTGTTAAAATTTTGTGCCCTATTCAATAAATCATTGATTTAGGCTTTTACTTGTTTCTTTTAACCAAGAACAGAAGACATACAGTTACCAAGTTTGTTCAAAACAGACCCCTTGGGTCAAAATTGGAGTCACACCCATTTATTTCAGTTATCGTGTTCACAGGGTCCAACAATAATAGAATTACCAAGGGGCATAACTATGTAAAGTATGGTCAAATTGGTCCGGTATTCAAACTCATCCAAGATCTCATTGATACAAAGCTGCATACAAAGTTTCATCAAAATCGGTTCATATTTACTGAAATTATTGTGTTCACAAGGAAAAATTAATGGACGATGCAGCAAGGTCACACGGACCAACGAAAAGTATGAATTTGCCTCTGGATGACAGTCCTAATTTGAATCGGATGTCAGGTGACCGTTAAGGCCCATGGGCCTCTTGTTTAATTAATGAAAGGATATCGTAAAACTTGTTTAGATTTATGGTGAATTTTCACCAATATTTCATGAATTGATACTTAGTTGATGAGGGTCAGAAAACTCAAGAAGGGGATGACGCAACCAGGGGGGTGGGGTTAGTGGGTCACTTAGTATAAATTCTTAAAGGATCTTTTGAAATTACCTGTCAATTATTTTAATGAATTCTGGTGGTAATCATTGTCCTGAGATAGGGATCAGAATCTGAAGTACTCAAGATAGGGTATGTTGACCCCACAGGGGGTTGAAGGCAGATCAATCAGAGGTCAGAGAGTGGAAAATCTTCAAACTGATCTCCTCTGAAACAAAGTTAATGATAGATTTTCGCCAGCATTTCGTAATATTAGTGATGCTAAGGATTAGAATTTATACTCCAGAATGTCACAGCTAGTGGCCAAGGGGCAGGCCCCTGTCACAGAAAGCAACCCTCAAATTAAAATAGTTTGACTTCTCTGAAACTTACTGGTTGATTCAACATTTGTATAAAACAAGCCTTAGTTGGTGAGATCTTGAATTTATTTAAGCAGATTTTATTTATTTTTTGGTTCCGATGTGCAACTTTGATGTCTTTTTTCCATGTCCACTTTTATTGTTTGCATCAATTTCAACAAGTGAAAATCTCGGCAAGTTAATTGGTCGTATTAATCAAAGTTTTTATATCCAATTGTTAAATGTTGTAGAAGTAAACCAACTTATGGTCAGTTCTGATGCTATCCTTTACTCACATGACTGTTAAGTCCCTTTGTTCACCTTGGTGTTTTTTTGTAACTAAACTTCATACAATTTTCAGGTATTTGCAAACTGAATACATTTCTCATTTACATTAATAACAAACTATAAATTCCAAATATTACCAATTTTGTCATTTAATATTTCCTAACAAAGATTTAATTTAGGGAAACACTTTGGAAAATTTCGACAAGTAAATCCAAAACAGTGGATATCAACATCCAACAGTTACTTTTCTTCCATCGTCATACACTTGATACAGAGACACTTTGCAGAATAGTATGAAACTTAAGCTTTATGTAGAAAAACATTACTGCTTTACTTTGAACATATCATACTGCAACTTATTAATGATTTCTGTCCATGAAATAGATGTTATAACTAACATAAGAAATCTGGTCAGGTTGTAACACTTCCTATACAAAGGGCAAGAGGTTGCATCACCATATTTTTCTTGTGAAAAAATGTATAGTGTCTCAATTTATCTGGTAGGTTTATTATCCCATGTTCAAGGAAAGAAACATGCTATACCTAACTAAGAGTATTCAAAACCAGTTGTTTTCCAAGAAGTTATCATGTGGTGTACAAAAGTTGTATTTGGATGATTTGTTTTTTGTAGGTATGGGCTATGGTTGTGTTTGGATGTATATCAGCCGAGGGCTGGTATGACGGCCATTGTCAGATGAGGGACGATCCCAATGCCTGTAACTATGGCGTAGGAATTGGAGTTTTAGCATTCCTTATTTGTATTGGATTCCTTGTGGTAGATGGCCTGTTTGAAAACATCAGTAGTGTGCAGTACAGAAAATATGCTGTTATTGCTGACATGTGTATATCAGGTAAGTGTCCTTACGATCAAATCAAAACGAAAAACATTATTTATAGATTATGCTTTGATATGAATTACATAAATGTGTCGTAGCATCTGCAACAAGAAACATTGGCAGTATTTTTAATTTGATTTTGTGCGAGGAGACTCCAAGCTATAAAGGTGTAAGAAAATATAGTTTTGAGGAGGCTCCAGCTTTCACCATTAACCTGCTGTGCAGAATTTATTGGAACTTTCACATAATGGTAACGCAACTGTGTAGTTTTTATACACCTGTCGAATGAAGGGACATATATCATGTTATCATGTAAGTGGGCGGGCGGGCACAAACGGTGTTCAATATCTCGAGTAGTTTTAAAGGGATTAACTTCAAACTTCATTGGAAGGTTCATTGCCATGATCGCTCAGACAAGTCTATAACCGCAATTATCGGAACATAATTTATGGAGTTATGGCCCTTTATTCATTTGCCGAAACAGTGTCCACTCGATATCTCAAGTAGTTTTCAATGGATTAACTTCAAACTTCATAGGAAGGTTCATTATTATGGTAGCTCTGACAAATTCGATAACCGCAATCATTGGACCATAATCTACAGAGTTATGGCCCTTTATTTAATTGCCGAAACATTGTCCACTCGATATCTTCAGTAGTTTTCTACGGATTAACTTTAATGTTAATTATTTTTGGGTGTGTAACAATGTTTGGAACCATAACAACAATAAAAAGTGGAAAAAATATTGCTGATTTACTCAAAAAGTATTGTATTTATTACAAAACATAAAACATCGAAATTGTATTTATACACTATGTCTTTCTGTTTCATTTATTTTATATGGTACAATTATTTTGATCCGGATGAGAGTTGTCTTTCATAATATCGGAACTTTTTGCAGAGGAATAAAAAGTTTCCTAATTACAGTTATCTCCCTTCATACACATACAAGTGAAGGAATTAAGTTGAAAAATATGACATTGATCAAAAAAATTCCATTAACTTTTTGATTGTACAGATAAGGTGATTTTTTTAACAATTACACGTACATGCCTAGATAAATACAGTGATCTTCAATCAAACTTCCCAGAGGAAGTGCACTTCACTTGTAAGAACAGTTTATTTGATAGAACCTCCTGACTGGTCTTAGCACAATATGTACATTTGAGGCCAGTACAAACAACACATCAGTCTGCATCCAATACGCTAACGCCTCATTTATGACCTTTTCAATATCATCTGGTCTCATGTAAGTGTATTTGCACGAGTCAGTATATATATGTCTTGGTTCAGAAGCTTTTTTTCCGAAGTACATGTTTGTGTGAACATTGATAATATCTTGTCTCGGTAAATAACATACATATTTCCAAGTAATGTCTCGGTATCAGGTGTTAATTTACATGTCATCACCTTGCACGTGTTCTTGTGTTTACCCAGTGTCACTATAGCATTGAAATGCCTGAAACCCAAATGGAAATTCCTTACCTTGTTACTTGAAGTCAAACATGTGTTTTACCCCAAAGCCAAAGGTATGAAAAGGGCACTGATTTGTTTTTGCATGTATTTGATTCTATGAAAATTTCCATTTCCATTTTATTGTTCCCCATTTTTGAAATGCTTTAGACAGTAGACACCGACCAGATTTTACAATACATTTAGCATGTTGTATGTAATACAGCATGTCTAGCATAGTGAGCTGTGATTCCTGTGTGTGTTTGCTGTTAGCTCCAAGGCAGGCAGCAAGACTTAAGTATTGACTAAGTATTGATTGCCATCTTGTCAGCCTAAAAGCTTATCACTGTCTTGCTGTGAGCTAGCTAGCAGCCTCATCACTGTGATACTGAATGTGCAGACTCCCTCATACACTAACATAGTACTTAACATGTACAAAGCCTATTTAAGTATCAATCAATAATATCCCCCATACATGATAGTACTGACCTTTTAAGTACCAGTAACATCCTCCCCATACATACTCTACATTACTGACTGTATTAAATCTACTTACAGTCAATAACACCCGCACACACTACAGTATTGACCTTGTGTAAAACAGGAGTATGAATTAATTACATAGCCCAATACACAACAGTTCTGACCCCCCATGAACTACAGTACTGACTTGTATAAAGCCTAATTGACAAGATATTTAAATTTGTTTCCCCAATAACATCTTATTATAACTTAATCATTGTACGGGTAATAAGTGTGATGGATTTGTGACATTATTGCTGAAGATATCTGTTAAGGGTCAAAGGTTGGGGGAAAAAATAGATAATTATAAATGTTGTTTGTTCCTGCAATATTTTGTAAAATGTTGGACTTTGTGCATCCGTAATATTCTTCCCATTTCTCTGTAGAGAAAACACTTTTCATGTCATATTTTAGTGTTGTGGACCATGATTCTGAGTCAACATTAATGTTCTGTGTGCTGTAGAACTGTGAACATTATGTTTTGTAGCACTGTGGACATTCCTGTGGTTTGTTGGTTTCTGCTACTTGACGGATGCCTGGAACCATTCTTCTGACGACAGCCCTTATCGCGCCCCTCACGGTCATGGCCGCGATCATGTACAATCTGCCATAGCATTTTCCTTCTTCTCCATTGCTACTTGGGTAAGTAATTTGTCTACCTGGAAATAAGACATAACTACTGGCTACATATTCACATATAGTTTATATGGAAATATAATTCTACCAACAGGAGTGAGTTTCATTTTCTACAGTTAAATATTTAATAAAAGAAATGTTCCCATGTACCAGTGAGTTTCAGGCTAAGACCATAACTACAAATGTAATCTATATACCTTTCTGAATAGCTAAATATGCTATTGATATTCTTATCATGTCAACTGAACATTCTAAAACCAGATTGTATACATTTTATAGGGAGGGCTCACCTTCTTTGCTGTGAGACGCTATCGGGAAGGCTCCCAGGAAACTTTCACTCAAGGATATGAAACGGAACAAAATGCATCTTCCCCATATTCCTCATTCCCTGGCAGTGATACTGGCGACCCTTATCAGCAGCCCCCTTTTAGTGGCCAGAAGGAGGCTCCTGATTTCCAGCCACCAACCTACTAGGGAAAGAAGTATCTAAATTACCCCTAGTCAATGGCGGGGTGACAAGGAAGAATCAAAAGGAGCAGCCACACCAGCGTTACCATGGTCACCATTAGAAAGTTGTATTAGGCTGTTGTCAAGTATAGGATAAGGAAATGGATATGTGTATCTAGATGATAAGTCAGATCATGGTATGTCTGGGATGCTTGTAGGTCATTTTGGCTTTATGATTACTTACTTCAAATGCATAAATAGTTAATGCCTATATATATATTTATTGTTTAATACGTTATCAAAATAAGATTAAAATTTTGAGTGGTTTGAAATAAAAAATGCAAAAACACTAAAGACATGATATATGATCAGTGCAGTGTTGCTGACTATGACGGGGAGATGCTAGAGAGTGTAGCAGTGCTTTGTGGTGTCCTGATATATGGCTGACTTTGTAAACAGTCCAGAGGGACTAGGTACACTTTAAAAGGAATACTGAAGAACTGTGTATGAATTGTTCTTGTGGTCTATCAGATGCTGGAGAAGTCTTATCAAAGGGGGACAACTCTAGTATGTTGGCTAGATTTGTTGGAGGCATGGTATGTGATGGTTCACCGTATCAAATTGGGTTGTGGTTGAAAGCATGCTGATTGATAGTAGGAATTTATATTCATTGAAGTGAAATGCCAAAAGTTTAGTGTATTGAAGATGTTTTCTATATTGAAGGAATCGGTATGAAAAAATATCTTTTAAAAGATATGTGTTCAGCAACGGGAATAACTGATCTTGTTGTTATTAGATTTTCCCTGTGGGGAACAATAGAATCTCCTTGTGGGTAATGAGGCACATAAAAATATGTTTGAAATCCATATTGTATGAGCATGATCTTTAATTCTCCTCTGTGTTGTGATAAGACTTGTCAGTACTATGTATCGGTTTGATAGATCTCAATGGAGTGTGTAGATTTAATTGAAATAGAGTTTCCATGCTATTGTATTTAGTAAAACGTGTCATTGTGATTCCATGAAATCAGAGGAAATTGAACCAGTGGAATCATTTTACCTAAAAAACGGTTAAATAACTGCGGTCTGATATCACTCTCAGAATACATTAAGTACTATACCCACCTGTAGATGTAGGCATATTCACTAGGATGCTCAAATGACATGTTGCACCATCGCATTGCTTAGGAATCGAGCTATAGCCTTTGTGATATGACTAGCCTCTATGTTATTAGGAAGTAGCATCAGTGATGTGACCAGCCACTATATTGTTCAGGAACTAGACTAGGTCATGTGACTAATTAATGACGAGAGTAGTTAAAACATCAATAAAACACCAGCTTTGACTGTTGCAATAGTTTTTATGTAGTTGTACCATGTCTGATTAAGGACAGACTAATAGTGATACACTCTACCTGCTTCTCCAAGCATGTTTGAGACTAGCTTGTCAATCACAATCAACTATACCAACTTGCACCCCAAAGCATGTTGTGATGCTAGCTTGTCTATCAGTAGAACTGTACCAGTTTTAATCATTATTCATGTGATATTCCTTTTTTCTCAATTTGTTTTATTTGACAATGAATCATTCCATTTATTCAGTTTGTGTGTTACTTGTGCTATTATATAGATGATTTATTCCTAACTGGTGAGTGTATGGGCATGTCTTTGCTGTCTTCGCAGATTAGACTGCTATTGGTATGGTTTCTTTTAGAGTATTATTTCATGTTGACTTGTTGTATACATATATTTACACTTTTTAATCATAATCATAATTTATATCCATATTTCAGAGTAGATTATTGACATCGTTAAGTTTGCGTGAAAAAATACATGTTTCAGTCAGTGAATTGTTATTTGTTGTCTTCTCTTAACATAAATACTCCGAAAATACCTAAATGATTCATTGTATAAGAGAAGGTTGAAAAACTTATTCTAGTTCATATCGACCCTTGTATCACTCGTTTATCCTGTATTAATTAGAAATCATATTCTTTTCTATTTTATCTTAGTTTATGTGGAATATGTTGCTTTAGTTACTACAAATAATGCTTCCATTGAAATATTGTGAATTTTAATCACTCCCGTTTAAGTTCTATCAATTACAAAATGTATTTATTGTGATTTGTTTTTGTGATTTGTTTTTCTAATTATCAAACTACAGTTGACTAAGGGGACCTGTGTTAATGAGCCCACGGCTAATTAAGCAAGTGCTCCTACAGTCCAACACTAACTCAATGATTGACAGGGCCTAGTGTTGGTATCGGTGTGGTTGTTCCACCAGCTGAAGTGACACATCACTGATGTTGTTGCCTATCTGTTGTTTATCTTGTGTGTTTGCTGGTTTGCTGTATTTTAGATCAGTGCTTCTATGCTGTCCCATAAGCCAAATTATATTTCCTGTGACATAAAGATTTGCTGATTTGTAGACCAATTGTACCATTTTGATTGATTGATTTATTGTTTAAGAGACTAAACTATTAGAAGACACAGATATCAGATATGATTAAAGATCTACATTATGAAAAGAGAAACGTGTCTCAAATCTGGTCAATATTGTTAACTGGATAAATAAGTAAAAATGTCAGACACGATTAATTAATAAGAAATCCAGGCTATGTTTTAATGTTGCATTTATGCTAGAAGATTAGAAGATTAAATCTAGAAATCCATACAAAAAAATCAAATTGTTTTGTTTCTCCTCACAGAAAATCTGAAGTTCTTTTTTCTGCAATAGCAGCTGTCATGGTAATACTATTAACACTCTTTTATAACAGATATTCGTACATGGCGTATACGGGTTTACATGCACATTGTATAATAGATCATTGTAGACTGTTGCAAGTTCATTTCTTTATACCTTTTTGCAATAGATTGATAAACATATCTTTTCAACATTTATTCAAAAACATTTCTTAATGATATAGCATTTCATGAAGTGAAAATGCTGCCAAGTGCAATATTATTTTGGTAATGCTGTCGGTTTAAAGAATATCTCTCTTCATTGCTTATCCCTCTTTATTTTATCTCCGATCCTTATTTCACATTTAAAACTGGTAAATGTTAAGTGGAATTTCTAGACTTGTTTTTAATTTAAGTTTACACAAATGCCAGAATTGTAAACTGGGTATGAGAACAAAGCATTTCATTGCAACGCTTTGCCAAACCAAGAGCTTTCTTGAAATAAATGTGTAGGCAGATTACAAATACAAGTTTGATGAGGATGTTTGCATAAAAGAAATTGCTCCTTAACTTTATGAGCATGGGTAGCATACTGGGGCTCTGCTGACAATAATCAATTATTAATGAAATTAAATACAGTATTTCAATGGATGTATTGATTTTAATACAGAATTTCTTCAGAGATTTGAGCTTTGAAATTTTGATGTTAGACATTATGAGTGAATAGAAAATCCATATACCAAAGTTGACATCTACATAAACATTAAAATTATATTAATGATCAAGTTATTAATGGTGGTTATTACCAATAAAAAGTTTGATCTTAACATATCTGATACAGAAGTGATCTCAATAATTAATATGCCAAAATAAAATTGACACAAATGTCATCTTTGATGGGATTAAAAAAGTATACTTGTGTTTGATGGGATAAAACTAGGGATATATGTGTTTGATGGTAATTATATGTTTTGTTTATGATATTTGTAAGTGAGAGGAACTTGGTCAAGCTGGACTCATGCAATGCTTATACGAATATGTTTATCAAGGTTTGAAATTTATGACAACTTATTGTAAGCAGTATGTTGACCTTCAGTATTTGAGTATGTTGAAGGTTTCCCAATACTCTGTGTTTCACTGCACCCTGCCTTGCCAACACCTGGGCAATGTCAAAACTTGCTGCTTAGACATAATGTTATGAATTTCACATTTAGAAAAGGGTCCATATGTTTCAGCATGAAAATACTGTTTGTAAATTATCTACATCATCAATCTCTGATTATAAAACCAATGGAACAAGTGACTATTTGCAATCCAATTATTGTGTACGTTATATACATGTTTACATGTAATACAAGTTGTATCTGTGTATTACATGTTGTGTATATAATTTACCTGTTTATGTGTATTATACAGGTTATGTAAATTATATAGGTTTACTTGTATTACAAGTGGTGTTTATAATATATCATTACTTGTAAATGTATTATAACATATGTATATTCGGTTACTTGTATTACAAGTGGTGTTTATAATAATCATTACTTGTATTACAACATGTGTATATTCGGTTACTTGTGTAGCAAGATGTGAATATATATACTTGTATTACAACCTGTGTTTATAATATATATTCACTTGTATTACAAAGTTTTATATATACTGTACTATACATGTTATATTACAAGTTGTGTGTATATATATATATATAAATGAACTTGTATAACAATTTGTGTATATATATATATGTAAATGAACTTGTATAACAAGTTGTGTATGTACTATACATATTGTGTAACAAGTTATGTATAGATATTTACTTGCGTTACAAGTTGTGTATATATTACACACATTTATTTGTATAACAAGTTAAACACACTCCTAGTTTGTGTCACTAATTGTTACCACTATGCACAGAGAATCCTATTCATATTATTGTTGTTATTGTCTTTAATATCAGCTATTATCATATCTTGTCATATCTACACACCTTGTCTGTTATAACTGATACCAAGTGTTTTATCAACAAGCATTGTCTGTTATAACTGAAACCAAGTGTTGTATCAACAAACATGGTCTGTTATAACTGATACCAAGTGTTTTATCAACAAGCATTGTCTGTGATAACTAATACCAAGTGTTGTATCAACAAACATTGTCTGTTATAACTGATACCAAGTGTTGTATCAACAAGCATTGTCTGTTATAACTAATACCAAGTGTTGTATCAACAAGCATTGTCTGTTATAACTGATACCAAGTGTTTTATCAACAAGCATTGTCTGTTATAACTGATACCATGTGTTGTATCAACAAGCATTGTCTGTTATAACTGAAACCAAGTGTTGTATCAACAAACATTGTCTGTTATAACTGATATCAAGTGTCGTATCAACAAACATTGTCTGTTATAACTGATACCAAGTATTGTATCAACAAACATTGTCTGTTATAACTGATATCAAGGGTTGTATCTACACACATTGTCTGTTATAACTAATACCAAGTGTTGTATCTACACACATTATCTGTTATAACTGATCCCAAGTGTTGTATCTACACACATTATCTGTTATAACTGATACCAAGTGCTGTATCTACACACATTGTCTGTTATAACTGATCCCAAGTGTTGTATCTACACACATTATCTGTTATAACTGATCCCAAGTGTTGTATCTACACACATTGTCTGTTATAGCTGATACCAAGTGTTGTATCTACACGCATTGTCTGTTATAACTGATACCAAGGGTTGTATCTACACACATTGTCTGTTATAACTGATCCCAAGTGTTGTATCTACACACATTATCTGTTATAACTGATCCCAAGTGTTGTATCTACACACATTATCTGTTATAACTGATACCAAGTATTGTATCTACACACCGCGTCTGTTATAACTGATAACACGTGTTGTATCTACACACATTGTCTGTTATAACTGATCCCAAGTGTTGTATCTACACACATTGTCTGTTATAGCTGATACCAAGTGTTGTATCTAGACACATTGTCTGTTATAACTGATACCAAGTATTGTATCAACAAACATTGTCGGTTATAACTGATACCAAGTGTTGGATCTACACACATTGTCTGTTATAACTGATACCAAGTGTTGTATCTTGTATCTACACACCTTGTCTGTTATAACTGATACCAAGTGTTGTATCAACAAGCATTGTCTGTTATAACTGATATCAAGTGTTGTATCTACACACATTGTCTGTTATAACTGATACCAAGTGTTGTATCTACACACATTGTCTGTTATAACTAATACCAAGTGTTGTATCTACACACATTGTCTGTTATAACTGATACCAAGTGTTGTATCTACACACAT